TTCTATGGATGCATTTTACAGTGTTTGTCTCCTTTATATGAGGTGTCATATTTTCTCTTTTGGCCAGTTCCTCTTCATTCCCAGCTGTCATCAGTTTGATTCTGATTATTTAGAGTTTTTTTCCCCCTTTATATTCCCCTGTCCTTTTTAAGGTTATTGACCTTCTTGGGTCAGATTTTTAAAAATTTCTTTCATTATGTAGAAACTTATGTATTTTTCAACATAATTACTTTTTTCCTATCCTCTCTATCAATGACCCCCAGTTATACATTTATTGATATTATCATTGGTTGAATTTCTTCCACTTTCCAAAATGGATATGTATAATGTGAAAGCTATAGAATAATTTCCCATGATCCTGAAAAATCAAATAAGTTTAGGAGGATTTATAATGTAATGCAATATTCTCTAATGCCATCACAATCTTAATTGGATTTAAGAGGCATATCCCTAGGATGTAGCTGGTAGAGACAATAGGTGAGGAAAACCATTTGGGAGAGTGGACTGTACCACCAAGAAATAATCAGCAGAAGGAAATTGCATCTTTTTGGACCAGGGCCTTTCCACAACAAAGATCTTTGACATTCTGGAAGGCCAGGACACAGGGAGATTTCCAGGGAACAACGAGTCTACAGAAGGTGATGGAAACAGGATTCTTCCTTCAGAAGCAATAGGTAGAGAAGGCCTCCATCTAGAATTGTTGTTGTTGATTGACTTTGAGTCAAGCATGACTCATAGAGACCTTATGAACAAAAGGGCTGAAGCTGTTCTACAACTATTGTCATTTATCAAAGTTCATAGAGTTTCCAGCGGCATGTTGTTTAGGAAGTGGATGCTCCTTCTGCTTCCAACCATCTAGAACTAGCAGCCTGAATTTGAATTTTTAATCTCCTAACTATAAATTAAAGCTATCCACCTGTGGTTTCACTGTTATAACTGTATTAGACAACAAAAGCAGGTATACAATGACTGGATTTTGTTCATACTTTCACTTACTTCTTTCTCACTCATCCTTTGTTGGATAATTCATATTAATCCAATATATGAATATTTCTAACATCATCATCAATCTGCTTTTATGCACATCAGCTGAAATGTTTATTAGATTCTTTTATCCTTTCCACCCCCACCCCTGTAAGATAGCCTTTTTATTCATGTATTTCAAACATTTTTACCTGAGTATGTGGACATTTTTACAAAAATTATTATTCACAATCTTGTAATTAGAAAATTATGAGATTAGTTTGTATTTAATGGTTTTGTTGTTGTTAGGTGTCATTGAATCTAGTATGATTCATAACCACCCTGTGAACAAAAGATCTGAACCCAGCCCTGTCTTGCGCCATCTTCACACTTCCTGACACACAGGAGCCCATTGCAGCAATCATGATGATGTCAATACACCTGGTTGAAGGTCTTCCTCTCCTTCACCGACCCTCCACCCTTCCAAACTTTATGTCCCTCTCCAAAAAATAGCACCTCCTAGCAATATGTCCAAAGTATATGAGACAAAGCGTCATCATTCTTGCCTCCAAGGAACACTCCGGCTGCACCCTTTCCAAGACATATCTATTCCTTCTCTTGGCTGTCATGGGATGGTCAATGCTCTTCTCTAACACCACAGTTCAAAGGCATCAATTCTTTTTCTGTCATCCTTATTCATTTTCCAGGTCTAAGATGCATAGCTAGTAATTGGAAAGACTATGGCCTGAATCAGATGCACTTTAGTCCTCACACTGACAACACTACTCCTTAATAATTTAGAAAGGTCCCAAACTGCAGATTTTCCCAGTGCAAAGTGTCTCCTTATTTCCTAACTGCTTGTGGATCCAAGCAAGATGAAGCTGTTGGCAGTTTCAATCTCCTTTTCATCCATCATGACACTGCCCGTTGGTCCAGTGGTAAGAATTTTTGTTTTCTTGATATTGAGACACAATCCATACTGAAGGCTGCATTCCTTGATCTTCTGTAACAAGCACCACAACTCCTTCTCACTTTCAACAAGTAAGATTGTGTTATCTGCATAATGCAGGTTCTTGAGGAGTCTCCTTCCAATCCTGATGCCACATTCCTCTTCATAGAGTCCAGCTTCTTGGAAAATTTTCTCAGCATATAGATTGAACAGGTATGGAGATAGAATACAACCCTGACACACTCTCTTCCCAATTCCAAACCATGCAATGTCTCCCTGCTCCATTTGCACAACAGCCTCCTGTCCCACATATAGGTGCCTCATGAGCACAATCAAGTGTTTTGGGATTCCCATTCTTCTCAATGTCAACCACAACATGTCATGATCCACAAAGTCAAATGGCTTTGTGTAGTCAATAAAGCACAAATAGACATTCTTCCGGTATTCTTTACTTTTAGCCAGGATCCATCTGACATCAGCAATTATATCCCTTGTGCCATAGTCTCTTCTAAACCCCACTTGAACTTCTGGCAATTCCCTATGTATGTACTGTTCCAGCCATTTTTTAATGATCTTCAGCAGTATTTTGCTTGCATGTGATATCAATGATATTGTTCAAAAATTCCACACTCTGTTGGATCACTCTCTTTGGAATAGGAACAAATATGGACCTCTTCCAATCCATTGGCCAGACAGCCATCCTCCAAATTTCCTGGCATAGACTGGTGAGTGCATCCAAGTCTGCATCTGTTAATTTAAACGAGTCAATTGGTATCCCACTTATTCTTGGGACCTTATTTTTTTGCCAATACTTTGAAGGCAGCTTCAGTTTCCTCTTTCATTACCATTAGCTCCTATTGATATGGTACTTCCTGAAATACAATGTTGTGAGTGATAGGATAATATCCATATGCATACAAGGAAGACCGTTTAACATGATTATTATTCAAGTATATGCTCCTATATCTAGTGCCAATGAGTAAGAAGTGATAATTTTTACCAAATTTTGCAGTCTGAAATTGACCAAACATGCATTTAGGATGCATTCATTATAATTGGTGACTGGAATGCAAATGCAGGAAACAGTGAAGAAGGAACAGTAGCTGGAAAATACGGGCTTGGTGATAGAAATGAGACTGGAAAGAGAATGATTGAGTTTCGTATTTACAATGATTTATTCATTGCAAATATTTTTTTCCTAAAAGATACAAAAGACAACTTTACACATGGATTTCACCCCATGGGTTGCATAGGAATCAGAGAGACTACATTGTGGAAGAAATCTCTGGAGAAGCTCAATATCAGCAGTCAAACTAGGCCGGGGCAGACTGTGGGTCAGATCACCAATTACTCATATGCAGGTTCAAATTGAGGGTGAAGAAAATGAAAATAAGTCCCTAGGAACCACGGTATGATCTTGAATCAATTCCACTGGAATTTCACGATCACCTTAAGTATAGGTTTGAGGCATTGAACACCAATGGTAGAAGACCAGATGAGTTGTGGGATGATATAAAGCAGAAGGTCATTATAAAAATAGAGGGGAAAAAATAGAGGAGAAAGAAAAAAATCTAAATGTATGTCAGAAGAGACTCTAAAGATTGGACGGGAATGTCAAGAAGCCAAATCTAAAGGAAAACATGTTGAATTGAAAGAGCTGAGCTGGTGATTTCAAATGGAAGCTTGGAAGGACAAAGTATTATAATGAAATATGCAGAGAACTGGAATAGGAAAATAAAAAGGGAAGAACTTGCTCTGCATTTCTTAAGCTTAAAGAACTGAAAAACAAATTTAAGCCTTATGTCACAATGTTGAAAGATGCTATGGGCAATATATTGAATGACCCAGAAAGCATTAAAAGAAGATGGAGGGAATACTGATCACTGTACCAGAATGAACTGATTGACAGTAAAAATTATATTCAATACTTTTAATTTTTATACTGGCTGCATGTTACTTTTTTTTTTTTTTACATACCTATTGGGTTCTTTCTTGCTTTCTACATACTGTGCATGAGTCAGTGTAGAGACTCTGGAGTCTAGTTTGTGCCTCTCAAGAGTGCTGATTTTTGTTTCAACAGAATTTTCACTTGAATAAAGCTCCAACCTCTTTCTTTTCTGTGACACGAGGCTGAGGACATCACTATATGGTTCTTTCCATTTCCCAAGTGTTGTTTTTCTTTATTTTCTTTGGAATTGCGCTTATATATACATGCATACACACATGATCTCTCTCACATGCAACTCAGATTTTCACACACACACACACACACACACACACACACACGTCAAAAAGAAGCAATTACTGAGAGCATAGATCTAGCCAAGCCTGTGACAGGTGCCACCACAAGAGTTGATTTCAAGGGAGCTCTGGTGTCCTAGTGGCAAGAAGCTTCACTGCAATCCCAGAGGTACGTGGTTTGAATCCACTAG